TGGCTGGCTGGCTGGCTGGCTGGCTGGCTGGTTGATTGGCTGGCTGGCTGGTTGGCTGGTTGGCTGGTTGGCTGCTGGCTGATTGGTTGGTTGGTTGGTTGGTTGGTTGGTTGGTTGGTTGGTTGGGGTTGGTTAGTTGGCTGGTTGGTTGGCTGGCTGGCTAGTTGGTTGGCTGGTTGGTTAGTTGGCTGGTTGGTTAGTTGGCTGGTTGGTTGGCTGGCTGGCTGGCTGGTTGGTTGGCTGGCTGGCTGGCTGGTTGATTGGCTGGCTGGTTGGTTGGCTGGCTGGCTGGTTGATTGGCTGGCTGGTTGGCTGGTTGGCTGCTGGCTGATTGGTTGGTTGGTTGGTTGGTTGGCTGGCTGGTTGGCTGGCTGGCTGGTTGGTTGGCTGGCTGGCTGGTTGATTGGCTGGCTGGTTGGCTGGTTGGCTGCTGGCTGATTGGTTGGTTGGTTGGTTGGTTGGTTGGTTGGCTGGCTGGTTGGCTGGCTAGCTGGTTGGTTGGCTGGTTGGTTGGCTGGCTGATTTGGGGATTTGTGGGGTTTTTGTACCTTCAGACTTTCACATTATCATATCAAAAGCACTTTTGTTGAGAAAACAGGCAGGGTCCCACCTTTCTATTGCCCCACTCCCCCACCCTCCCCACCCCCTACCTCCGGCCAAAAAGTAGGAGTTTCTGTCCCTCTTCCCTTCACCTGTAGAAAGCACTGTTGGGAACCAGTGTGCCTGTGTCAAGCCCCTCTAGCGACCAGATATCTCCAAAGAGCACACAATCCGTCTAAGAAAATAGAGCTAAAACCTCTGCCCAATTGCAGTGTGATGAGGTCAAGTGGAGAAGTTGGCAGATCAAACTTTTCTTTTCCTCTGGATGATTCCAAACCCCAAAGAATAGCAGGTTCCCCACTTCCTTGGCTTCACCCCAACCTGCTTTTCTGAAACTTCCTACAGTAGTTGATGACAGGAGATGTGAGAAGAAAATGGAGCTCCAAGGCAACCCCTCATGCAACATGTTCAACAACACCTCGAGTCACTGTTCCCAGGATGCTCTCCAGAATCACCAGCCCAAGCAAGACCAAGGCCCAACAGGTCCCTGCCCAGAGTCTGTGCCTGTCCCTGCCCCAACAAAATCTGGTGTCTGAGCTGATTGATGCTCAGGGCAACAGGGAAAGTAAGGCTGTGTGTGTGTGTGTGTGTGTGTGTGTGTGTGTGTCTGTCTGTCTGTCTGTGTGTGTCTGTGTGTGTGTGTCTGTGTCTGTGTGTGTCTGTGTGTGTCTGTGTGTGGCAGAAAACAACCTTCCAGCCTGAACTTGCTGCCAGAATATGCTAGAAGCATCAAAGTGAAGAGCCAGAACTCCCGTGGAGGAGGCACAGGCGTCATGATGGCCAAAGGGACAGCCTATTCCAGTGCACACCACCTCCTTCCCAACATGGCTTTTCACTCTTTCTCTTGCTCTACTTAACGAGTTTTAGCATCTGTTTGGAGGGACGTACAGTGACCAGGAACATTGGTTTGCTTAGTCTCACCCTCTGATATTTTCCCAGCGTGGTTTTACACTGACTCTCAGCTTTAACTTGGTTTGGGTCCTGACCATTTGGAATCTTTTAGACAACAGAGTTCAAATCCTGCCTCCTGTCTCTCCTTGGCTGCCAATCATTGGATATTGTTTTGGTTTACTTTGCACTCTTACAAAAATTAGCCTCAGAAGGTAAGGGTACATTTAGCCCACACTGCCAAAGTACAGTCACTCTAATAGGGAACTTAAAGTGAAACCATGAAGTTTGCATGCTGACTCAATCACTGGCTTGGTGACAGGCTACACTCAGCTAACTTTCTCATATAAGCCAGACCCACCTGCCAAGGTTGGTGTTGCTCACAACACATCAACGATCATTCAAAATAGTCTGTTAGAGACATGGCCAGAGGTCAGTCTGATCAGGGCAGTCCCTCAGATGATACTCCCTCAGATGACTCTAGGCTGTGTCAGATTAACAGCAAAACCTAGCCAGGATAAATACCCAACCTTCCAGGGTTGTGATGGGATAGAGAGGAGAATTTACAAGGAAGCCCATCCATGGCAATAGCTTGGGCTGTAGTAGCTCTGTGGGGTTTTCTGTTGTTGTATTTTTGTTTTGGTTTGGATCTACTTAGCTGTCAAAGCAGTCTTCCTCAAGTCCTCACTCAAACACATGCTGCTAGCATCTATCTACCTGGTCATAGCCTTGGAGACTCCTGTCCTCTCTGAGCTATTCCCACCTGACACCTACTTGTGGTGAGCTACAGCAGCATTTCTTACATAAAGTCACTTCTGATCTCTAAACAAACCTGCCTGGAGTTCCTGCTTTCTACACTGAACACACCCGTGAGCTTAACACACCTGTGAGCTTCCCACAAGACAGTCAGGAAATAGTCAGGGCGACCCTTGGACAGAAGTCTTCTTCAAACCCAGTGCCTCCCACAGCCTTGGAAACCCTGAAGAACACCCGTGGGAGCAGCAAATGTGTGGACATATCCCAGAAGCCCCCGAGGCTGAGCACCCTCCTAGTGGTTGAATTTATCAGAAAACACAGCAGAGACCTGCCAACCAGAGGCTACCACTGCCGCCATTACTATGGTTCAGCATGGCCAGATCCCCAGAATCTTCAAAAGACGCCAGACGAGTCTTTGACTAGTCTCTTTCATTTTAAAGATTGATCTCTGACTTTTAAAACATTTAACATGAGATGGGGTAGAGTGCCTTCCTCATATACACAAAATACTTAGTTCATCCCCATCATCTCACAAAACTGGGTGTGATGTCACACACCTGTAATGAAACCCTCAGGAAGCAGGGGGGGATGGGAATTTAAAGCCATCCTCTGCTACATAGAGTTTAAAACCAACCTGGGCTACAAGAGACCCTATTATAAAAAAAAAAGGTTCAACATAATACAAGTGCATATTTATACCAGTTATGATCTAAGGCTGGCCATTTATAAATGTTACATTCAGTGTACACACACACACACACACACACACACACACACACACACACACACACAAATAGAATAAGGCATTCCTGAGAGAGAACTTGATATTCAAGGGCACAACCATGTGATCCAACTCACACATTCCAGGACAGCCTGCATTGCCCAGCAGAGTCAGAAGGCATGGAAAGGAGAACAGGACAGAGGGGCAGCTCAGAAAGGCTCTTGTGCTACTACCAAATCCGAACCCGATGTTGAAGCTGGTGGTGCCGGTGAAGGAACCTTGAGGAGCTTACAGGAGGCAGAGAAGCTGCTGAGATCTGCATTGCAGAAAGCATACCCTCCCTGGGGAGACCGGACAGACTGTGCACCTGGGAGAGACATGTATCACAATGGTGGGGTCACTAGCAGCTCCTCTCATTTGGGGTGATCTAAAATAGGAAGGTGATGGTACTTGGAAGGGGAAACTTCATGGGGAGAGATGGGGGAGCTGTGGACACTGCCCTGATTTTGAATGAACTAGGCAGGGTTGTCCTTCCCTGCGGGAAAGATCTAGGTGAGGGGTCTGTTAGGTGTAAGGCATGGGTAGGGAGCAGCCATGGTGCTCATTGAGTCTGACAGTAGGAGTGAAGTCACAAGGAGAATCGGGCAACTTGTAGGGAGACAGAGGAAGTTGGAGGTTAGTACACGGGCCATGCTAAGGCTGAGCAACCCTAATCCAGGCACAACTGGAAGCAAATGGGGAAAACCAAGCTTCATGGAAAAACCAGAGGAAGTGTTGTCACAAGATGAGGCTGGTCCCTGACACACTTCAGAGTCTCACTTGGTTCATGGGCAGCACAGACAATAAAGACTTGGCTACAGTCTCTTGACAAAAATAACTTCAGGGAGGAGTTTGTTTCGGCCCACGGTTGAAGGTGCCATATACCATGACTGGGAAATCAAGGCCCCAGGAGTCTCAGACAGCTGATCACATTACCCTGGTTGTCAAAGGAGACCAATAACACAAACTTCTGCTCAGTCCCCTTTAACCATTTAGACTGTCCAGAATCCCAGTCAGGGAATGATAGCACTCACCTCGGAGAGGCCTTCCTACTTCAGCTAATCTAGACAGCCCCACACAGGCACAACCAAAGGCCCTTCACCCAGGCCTTTCTAGATTCTGCTGAGCACCAGCCATTACACTTGGGTTATGCCCAGTCTGTAACTACTCAAGGAGGGACCAGGCCTCTCTACACAAGGGTTCTGTCCTGCACAATCCCATGAACTATGGGCATGTGACATTCAGACATGTCTCCTATGTGAAGAAAATAAAATACACAAAAATAATCTCCAGCAGCTCTCCCCTCTGGATAGACCCCAGCTCTACATCTAAGAAGGCCACAGGGCATTAGGAAGCATGGTCTTGCTGTGGCTAACTCACTTTCCCTTCCTTCATGGCTTCTGATAGTACCTTAATGGATTGCACTATGGAAAAGCAGCTGTCCCAAGAAACTTCTTAAGCTCAGCAAGCAATAGCTGGTTTATTTGATTCTGAAGGACAGTGGACATCACCTTCAATAACACTGCAACAGATATTCACATGGGCTTCTATTTGAACCCTATAAGACCTGACTTACAAAGAGGCTATCAAGACCGAGAAAGATTCAGGGTTGTAAGAGCAGAACCCATGGGGAGCTAGAGCTCCAGGCCCCTATCCAATGGTCCCACTATACCTCTTATCATCTAACAGTGAGACTTCCTGAGAGGTGACCAGCATTACTGCAGGGGGAGAAGGAATGGCCATTGTCCTAGGACCAGTCAAGGTCAGAAGGAAACACATCAAACACCCAGAAGAAAAGCACCTTCAAAGTCTTCCCTACCCAGGTGTCCCCCAGAAATTCTGTCATGAAAAGGCAGCAGCTAACGTTAATAGGGACGCTGCTGCGTCTGAATGCAAGGCCATCAAGAAAGGAACAAAGAAAAAGAAGAAAGCCCAGTTGAACCTGGAGGCTTTTCAAGTCGCCGTCAGGCAGGTTCGGGAGCAACGTGTGGTACGACCGCCGGGCGCTCTGCTCCTCTTTAAAGAGCATGGATGTATCCCCACCCTCCTACATGAATGAAACGAGTTTTCAGGGCTGTCAACTCTCCAGTTAGGGTTCTGCAGTGGTATGTTTCTTCTACAAGAAAGGGAGGGGAACGGCAGCCAAGGTTAAGGCAGTGGAAGGACTGGGAATAATGGATGGAAAACAACTGGGTCATAGACTGAGTATGTTTCCATAGCAAACCAACCAAGCACAGCCGCCTACGACTGGACCACACTTTACCCCATCAGTGTGATGCAGGGAGGAAGTCTAACCTGAGCATTTCCTGAACTGTCTGCCCAGCTGTCCCACTCCTGTGTTTTTGCTTCCTCTAAACTTGCTTGTACACCTGTGGCTCACTGTTAGATGATAAGAGGTATAGTGGGCCCATTGGATAGGGGCCTGGAGCTCTAGCTCCCCAAGGGTTCTGCTCTTACAACCCTGAATCTTTCTCATTTCTCACCTGCAGCCAGTGAAGGAGGGGTACATGGCACCTTCTCACAGATGCATGAAATCTGGTCTCACGTGGGTGACATCGTGGAACCTCATGTTCTGGGCTTATTCCCTGGGTGATCTTGGGCAAATCCTGAAGCCCCTTTGAGCTTCGGACATCCCGTCTCTAAGACTGTAAGAAATAAGAAAGGGAAGGTACCATTTTTCTGGTGCTGTGTCTGGCATATGGTAAGACTCCACACGTGAACCCATCGCTATTTTTAGTGCCTCTTGGGATCTTCATGTCCTTCTAGGCAGCATTTTGTCTACATGGCCAAACAGGGCAAGAACTGTGACCTGGGATGATGAAGACATGGCTCTTGGGGTGTAAACTTTGGTAGTGGAAAGGAGAAAGCTTAGTCTGAAGGGGAGAATATGCATACATGTGTACTCTTCTAACGGTGTCTTGGATTTGGAAATGTTGTAAATCTAAATTTTGTAGAAAAACGATAGGTTATTCTAAGCAAAATCTGCTTGGGGTGAATATAAAGAGAAATTGAAATTTTAAGAGTTTGGACACCAACTGCCTGAGCATTGAAATGTATCGAAGAGGGATTTTATGTCATTGTGGATAGAACCTTCAGGTATTAAAAGGAAACAATTTAAAATACTGCATCTCTGAGCCAGAAGGACTGGTAAGGAGTCCTGTGAACTCTAAAGCATCCCTTTACTTGCAATAATGCTTCATCTTTCTTCCTGCTAGCAAGATTCCTCCAGGGTGTGCCCACGGATGACATTTCATGTGTCTACTAGGGGAGGGAAGGTCTGTTCAGGGCTCCCTAGTGAGCCAGGTAAGGACTATACCCAGGAAATGCACAATCTTCTATCCTAGAAGAGAGAACTAGCTGCCACCAGCAAGAACTGCTGGAGGCTGAGTAACATGGCATACTGGCTAGTTTTTGTCAGCTGGACACAAGCTAGAGTCAACTGCAAAAGGAATGTCAATGGAGACGTCTCCATCAGTGTCTGTGGGCAAGTCTGTGGGGCATTTTCTTGATTGATGATTGATGTAGAAGAGCCCTACCCACTGTGGGTGGTAGCACCACTGGGCAGGTGGTCCTGGGTTGTACATGAAAGCAGGCGGAGCAAGCCACAGGGAACAAGCCCGTAAGCAGCACTCCTCCATGGCTCCTGCTTCAGTTCCTGCCTCCGGGTTCCTGCCCTGACTTCCTTCATGGGGACTATAAACTGAGCCAAATAATCACTTTCCTCCCCAAGTTGCCTTTGTTCGTGGTGTTTATCACGGCAATAAAATGAGAACTAAGACAGATAATGACTGAGAAATGCTTTGCAAGGTGGTCCTACAAGAAATCTTTGAATAGAAACAGGGCAGATAAGAGTGGGACAAACAGAGAACAGGGTGGAAAGGAATAGTCGGCTAATGTAGATGAGACTTTCAGAACATTTGCAAAGTGATGGGAAGAAATATAGAACGGACTGATGGGAGTATGGAATTAGGGGTTGTCTAGGATTAAAACTAGATTAAGTGAATGTATGTCTAAATGATAGTGGGTGTGTGTGAGCGAGCTTGAAGCATGGATGGTGATTCAGATCTGGGCTCTTAAGCCAGTTTTCTGGGTTCAAATCCCCGAGGTCCTCACTTACTGTGTGCCTCTGATCACATTTTTAAATCTTTTTTATTTTATTTAAATTAGAAACATTTGCTTGACATATCAATCCTAGCTCATTCACCCTCCCCTCCTCCCCTGCCTCCCACCAACCCCCTCAACTCCCTACCCAACGCCCCCCTCCACTCCCCAGGGAGGGTGAGGTCCTCCATGGGGAATCTTCAAAGTCTGTCATATCATCCAGGGCAGGGCCTAGGCCCTCCCCTATGTGTCCAGGCTGACAGAGCATCCCTCTGTGTGGAATGGACTCCCAAAGTCCATTTGTACACCAGAGCTAAATACTAATCTACTATCCAAGGCCCCATAGATTACTGAGGCCTCCTCACTGACACCCATGTCCAGGGGGGTCTGGATCAGTCCCAGGCTGGCCTCTAAGCCATCAATCTGGGGTCCATAAACTCCCCTTTGTTCAGGTCAGCTGCCTCTGTGGGTTTCACCAGCCAGGTCTTGACTCCTTTGCTCATCATTCCTCCCTCTCTGCAACTGGGTTCCAGGAGTTCAGTTCAGTGTTTAGCTGTGGGTGTCTGCCTCTGCTTCCATCAGCCACTGAATGAAGGCTCTAGGATGGCATATAAGGTTGTCATCAGTCTCATTATCAGAGAAGGGCATTTAAGGTAGTCTCTCTACTATTGCTTCAATTGTCAGTTGGTGTCATCCTTGTAGATCTCTGAAAATCTCCCTAGTGCCAGATCTCTTCTCAAACCTATAGTGGCTCCCTCTATTATGGTATCTCTCATTCTGCTCTCTTCTATTCTTACCCTGACTCAACCTTCCTGCTCCCCCATGTCCTCTCCCTTCCTCTCTCCCCCTCTCTTTCTCCCAGCTTCCTCTCCCCTCCCCTCCTCCCAATCATCTCAGGATATCCTGTCCCATTTCCCCTTCTCCAAGGTACCATGCATATCTCTCTTAGGGTCCTCCCTGTTTCCCAGACTCTCTGGCAGTGGAATTGTCAGCTGGCAATGCCCTGCTCCATGTTGAAAATCCATATATGAGCGAGTACATACCATGTTTGTCTTTTTGTGACTGGGTTACCTCACTCAGGATGGTTTCTTCTAGTGCCATCCATTTGCCTGTGAATTTCAATATTTCATTGTTTTTTTTTTTCCACTGAGTAGTACTCCATTGTGTAAATGTACCACATTTTCTCTATCCACTCTTCAGCTGAAGGGCATCTAGGTTGCTTCCAGGTTCTGGCTATTACATATAATGCTGCTATGAACATAATGGAGCAGATGCCCTTGTTGTATGAATGTGCATTTTTTGGGTATATGCCTAAGAATGGAATTGCTGGATCTTGAGGTAGACTGATTTCCATTTTCCCAAGGAATCTCCATTCTGATCTCCAAAGTGGCTGTATGAGTTGGCACTCTCACTAACAGTGGAGGAGTGTTCCCCTTTCTCTACATCCTCTCCAACATAAACTGTCATTGGTGTTTTTGTGTAGCCATTCTGACAGGAGTGATGTGGTATCTCAGAGTTGTTTTGATTTGCATTTTCTTGATGGCTAAGGATGTTGAGCACTTTCTCAAGTGTCTCTCAGCCATTTTAGACTCCTCTATTGAGAATTCTCTACTTAGCTCTGTAGCCCACTTTTTAATTGGATCCTTTGGTATACTGGACACTTGCTTCTTGAGTTCTTTGTAAATTTTGGAGATCAGCCCTCTGTCAGATGTGGGGTTAGTGAATATCTTTTCCCATTCTATGGGCTGATGTTTTGTCTTGTTGACTGTGTCCTTTGCCTTACAGAAGCTTCTCCATTTCAGGAGGTCCTGTTTATTAATTGTCGATCTCAGTGTCTGTGCTACTGGTGTTATGTTCAGGAAGCGGTCTCCTGTACCAATTTGTTCAAGGATGCCTCCCACTCTCTCATCTAAGAGGTTCAGTGTGGCTAGGTTTGTGTTGAGGTCTTTTCTGACCACATTTTTACATTTCCTGTGTCTCCACTTCCTCTTCTGTAGAAATGGATGCTCTTTCCTCCCTCGAGGACTATAGTGAGGCGACGGTGAAGTGAGGTAAGGTTTGTGGAACTGAGCCTGACTTACAGCAGCTCTATGACACCTAGCAAATTACGCAGCTGATGGGGATTGCTGAGTTCGTGGAAGAGGGAAGACAGGGTGGATAGAGAGCCTCCAGGCAGCAGGGATGCATTTTCAGAACATAAGCAGAGGCATTGGCTTTGGATATGGAGACAACCGGTTCCTCTCTTGTACCATGAGAAAGGCGGGAGGCTGAGTTCTCCTATTAGCGAGTATTAATTGAACCCTGGAGGCAATGTGCCCAACCCCACTGGGGTGGCAATACTAAGGCAGACATGCTTCCATCATGGAGCTAACAGTGTAGCAGAGGGATGGTACCTTTAATAAGTGAGTGTGGTGGTTAAAACTTTGAAGTGATGGAGACTGACGAGAACCACAGTGCGAGTACAAGGGAAAGTGGATGCTATTTTAAATGAAAGGCCTTGCTACACAGATGACATTTGCACAAAGATCTGAAAAAGGGGAAGTGTTCCATGGGGATCTCCCTGGAGCAAACATCCTACAGCTAACACAAAGCCCCAGACCCGGAGCATGTCTGACAGAGGCAGGTAGAAGAGCATGGGAATATAACCGACTTCTCCGTCCTTCCTCCCAAGCCCTGCTCTAGGAATCTGAGCCTTCTCTGCAGAAGAGGGACACCTACAACTGTTCTGTCTCATCTCGTCATCCCCCAAGTCCCTCCCAGAACACAATGGACATGCGGGAAGTATGCTTCCTATGGAAACACTGGCATGAGCAAGATCCCAGACCTACGTTTGTCCATGGTCTATGGTAGGGGCACTGGAACCGTTTGTCGAGAGCAAGTTGCTGCAAATGGGCTAGAATAGACAGCAGAGTGGAAGTCCCTGGCTTGTAGGAAATAGGAACGTATAGACTCAGAAAAGACTTTGTAGCCATGAACACTGTTGGTCGCTCTTGCTGCTGTGACTAACTATAATACAGCAAAAG